GGGTATTCCATCATGAGGATGACTAGACCCTATGAGTGATTGAACCTGATGTGTTTGGTATTCCAACCCGAGGGTTGATTGGGCCAAAAATGTGTAGGGGTACGAGGGTATTCCATCCTAGGGATGAGCGGACCCGTCGTAGGCATGCCTGGTATTCCAGCCCGAGGCTGATTGGGCCAGGTGTGAGTGTTGGTTTATGTGAGGGATTGTTGTATGTACGTTTGGGGTATGAGTTGAAAGAGAGGAAGTGTTGTCGGCAGTAGATTATGACCCGTGGTTCTGTTTTCGGGTCGGAAACTCAGGTTCCCAGGGTTGAGTAGTCCTTTTATAGCAATGGGAAGAGGTCAGGTGATAGTTAGTTTGGGCGGCCTGTCAGGGAGACAGGTCCAATCTAACTTTCCAAGTAAAGGGCATTCCAGAGAGGTAGGTATTTAATACTGCATGAGAATGAGTATGTATCTCTTCGAGTTGGAGTTCCAGTGGGGTCAGCCTCCCTTGGTGGTCGTCACGCTTTAGGGGCGTGGATGTGCCTTTCGGGATTTTGAGTAGCCAGAATTGACAATTGGCGATTTCGAGGGCGAAATCAGATTTTAGTGGGGGAGAGTTGTAACACCCCGTTCTAAAATATTTATTTATGGATTTCCGAGATCAAGAGGGGCGTTTCGGTCTTTTGTGGGCAATGGGTTTCATTCGAGAAGGTTTCGGACCGGGGTGTTTGCTAGAAGCGTAGGGCTTCTCGCCACTTTGCGTGGATAAAAGTTCGTGGGAACGGATTTAGAATAAAGGAGTTATGACATTTTAAAGAAAGTGACATTTATGGCCCTTAATGGAAAAAGTTGTCGAAGTAGGCCATGCATGTAATTGGGACACGCATGGGTACGCCCAGCGTAGGCTGGGTTACGCCCAGCGTAATAGAGTAAATGATCGCGGGTGCAAGGACGCGTACGCCCAGCATACGCTCAGAGTCATTAAACCCTAATTTTAGGGCTAGCCACTATATAAAGAAACATAAAGGATCAACCCCAGCCTCCTATCTGTTCCCTTATCCTCAGAAAAACCCTGGTAGCCGTTTCCACCTCCATTGTTGGGTGTGTTTGGCTTTGTGGAGCTTAGTTTGGCAAAGGAAAGCTTAGAGAAGAAAGAAGAGGTTGGCAAAGAAGGAACCTTGGTGGCTGGAGCTTGTAGATCTGAGATAACACCACCTTTTGCAACTATTTAAAGGTATAAAGCTTCTTGCTTGACATCTATTTTGGTAGATCTAAGCGTTGTGAAAGTTTGACACCATTCTTGTCCCAAAAATCCCCAATATGAATGCATGATGTGTTTTGGTTAAGTTAAGCTGTCCTTTCAGACCATAGGAGAGGTCTTGAGTGAGAAAAATGAGGTCCCAATGGCTTTGGTTGTCTCAACCTTTCTTATTTTCTCAATTGAATGTACCTATATATATATATTATATATATATATATATAATATTATATATATATAATATATATATATATATATATAATCTATTTGAAGACTATAAGTTACAATGCCCGGTTTTTTTTTTTTTTTTTTAAAAAACGTATTTTAAAATTCATAAAATATTTAAGACGAATCAATTTCGAAATAATAAACATTTGAGCTTTTTGTTTACAAATAATCAAACCATTAAACAACATATAAAACTGATATTTTGTGTTTTTTTCTGTATATCATGTATTTTCTTACTCACCGCATTTAAATGTTGTTTTATATATAATAGAATAAATCATCAGTACAATCTGTGTGATTATGGTGTTTTTTGGGTGAGCACTGTGCAGTTTAGGGTCGTTTTTGGTTAAAATTGTACTCAAAACCATATTGATGGGTTTTCAGTTTGTTAAAACTGTAATGTGCGCTTCGGTGTTTGTTGCGGTATTCAGTTTTAGTTGCACTTTTGTTTCGATGTGGTTCAGTTCACTTTATAAACCACAAATAAGTATGATGCATTTTGTACATTTTAGTGATTTTCAAACTGCAATTATAGTTATATTGCTTTGGCCTTATAATAAGTCGAACACAAATGTTAAACGACTTTGTAGCATGTTAGTGACTAAAATGTTATAAAATATCGAAATTATGGCAAATGCATATTTAAAATGACATAAATAAGATTTTTGTGACCAAATTTACATTTCATAAGTCATGAAACTAAATTTGGTAAATAAAACACCGCCTCTTGGTTTTCTTTTTAGAAGCCTCAAACTTTTACGAGTCGCGACGAGTCATGTCGTTTGTAAGACATTACTTACCGAACAATTAGAATATATATATATATTATATATATATATATAATATATATATATATATATATATATATATATATATATATATATATTCTAGTATTGTTCATTTTTATATACATATATAACTTAAGACGACATTTTATTAGAACTTGACGGCAAATACAAGTATTGGAGCCATGACGAAGTCATGACAAACTTTTAGAACTTTGATAATAATAATAATAATAATAATAATAATAATAATAATAACTAGAAAAGATTCTCTGGCGTTGCCGGGGTCAGAAGGTATTGCTTTGTAAAGTAAAGTAGCATGTTGGTTGTTTTTTGTCCGTTAATGTGAGGGTAATTTGGTCTTTTCAGGTAGTAGGGACTGAATTTGTCACCATGGGTAAACCATATGGACCATTTATGTAATTTTGGCGGTGGTGGTGGTGGTGGTGGTGATGGCAGATGGTGGGTGTGTTTATGGTATTGGGTGGGTATTTTCTAATAAATAAAACATTAATTTAAAACAAAAAAGAGAATGTTAAATCTGGTAAACCACAGGGACCAATCGTGTAATTTTTGTCTAACAATAATAATAATAATGATGACAGACCATTTCTGCCAAAAGACTAAATACTAATAATATGTAATAAAAGGCGAGGGTTATGAAAAATTCAAATCAAAGTGAAAGGGTTGTTTGTGAACAAAAGCATAAAGATGAAGGGTCAATGTTGTAAGTTGGAGGACCAAAATTGACAAAAAAATGTGTCACTTTACTGTTAAAATCTTTCATAACTTTAATATATATAATAATAATAATAATAATAATAATTTATAGATATTAAATAGGTAATACATCTTATTTAAATATTTAAAAAGATCATATAACATGTTTTTTGGTATGTGGTTTTTACGAATGGTGGAGTGTAGTTTTTTTTTTTTGGTACGGTATATAATGCAAAACCACATCATACCACAAATTCTCAATTTTTACAAAATAAAAAATAACACCATCAATTATTTGTTCAGTTTTAATTTTATGATGTTTTTGACTTACGATTCTGTCTTTGCTAACCCCTGGTGTATGTTTAATTAAAGGGCGCTGATTTTTCAACACTTCTTTTTTATCTATCCACTGAATTTTAAACTTAAATGACAATTATGCCCCTTTTTAGATTTACAGAAGAGAGAGAAACCCAAACATTTATTTCCAAACACATGAGGCTCCTTCTTCCTTCTTGGGGATGCCAGAGAAACACCCTTCTTCCCTTCATTCGGTTTGTTTGCAGAAAATACATTAATCAATTTGAAAACTTTGAAAAATAACCCTTTGAAAACGTTGACAGTGAAAACTTTTTTATTGTTTTGTAAATCAGTTCTTCTATTTAACTCCCCCTGCACCTACAAGTGATGTCATCAATGGTGTTTATGGAGTAAAAGGTTATTTGGTTAAAATCTCACACCAACACCACCATTATAAATCTCTAAAGCATCTTCGCTAATAAGCTCCGACGAAATCTCTGAACAACACCACCGCAACAAAAGCCCAAAATTGATAAAAGACAAGGGTTGAAGGCGAAATCTTCGGCGAATGAGCTCTCCCGGGTTTGTTTGTGTGCATCGTCGGCGATTTTTATCATCGTATTCACCGTCATCGTCTTTTTCAATGGAACAAGGATGACTAACAATGAGATAGGGGAGGTATTTTGGGTCAAAAATGGGAAAAGAGAGCACGATGCTGCTCAAAGCCCTTCCCTACAAACATTCATCTTAATCCTCGGTCGTGACAGTTTTTGATGTTTTCATCCTCTTCAATCTGCAACATCACCACCAGTAAGATGTTTTAACCCAGGTACGGTTTTGGCTCCTAGGGTTGTATTGGAAAGATAGTATTTTTGCTTCCGATTTTTTGAGGAAGGATTTACAACACACAGAAAAGGTTTGGCGTAGGAAAAGGGGTTGACGGCGAGGAAAGAAGAAACCAACAGATACAGGGACGTCACACTTACAAAGTTTTTTAGATGAAGTCATCAGGGGCAATTTTGTCAATTAACAATAAAATTTTGTGGATGGATAAAAATAAGCCGTGGAAGAATCATTGCCCTTAATCAAATACAATATCTTATTAAGATGTATGAAATCCATTGAATATCATGTCCAAAAATGACTTATCACATGTCAAGCACAACATTTTCATTTATGTGACATCTATTTGCATTTCATGTTATTTACCAACATTTAGATCTATATATCAAAAATGACTTAATTACCTACCTCACAAATTTTCTCTTTAGTCTCCAAATATCCAAAATTGCATTGAGCATTGTCAAAAACTTAGCTATTAGGACTATATGGTCAACATACACCATGATACCTCTTTGTAGGCCTATCAATGAATATTAACAACTTACAACTAAATAACTATAAAAAAAGGTTATAAATAGTTAAGTAAATTTGAATTTATCTTAAAAGTTTAGTTTATTTACCACTATTTTTCTTTTTCAAATTTGTTTATCCCGATTATATAATATCCAAATCAAATCAAAACCGACTTTCTAAAATATTATAAAACTAATTATTACAACTTAATATCATTATAAAAAACACATCCAACCATAATTGTACTTCTATAAACAAAATACCATTGACAAAAAAATTTACCAAAAAAATGATGTCTTTGTCTTTGTGTGGGTTCTTGTTTGTCTTGATAACCATTAACATAGCGAATCTCTCTTCAATGCTTCACACTTTTATTCTTCTTTCTTTAATATAATCCAATTCGTCTCTCTTTCTTTTACCTCTCTCTCTCTCTCTCTCTCTCTCTTCCACACACCTCCCAACTAATTCACTTAATTTAATCCATACACAGACCACCTACATTATATTACATACATGTTCGTACCCACTCTATTTGATTCCATGAAATATATATTCTCTCCTCCATTTAGAAGCAAACAAGTTCATAGCTTTTTCCAACTTTCCCTCCCTTTTAGTTCCTTGATTTCTGTGTTGTGTGTCGCTATTAACTCAAGATCTATCTCAAATGGGTGTTTCCCAAATCGATTCACAACACCCACTTCCCGTTTCGTCATCTTTAGCCACAATCACCGCTTCCACCACCGCTAATTTTGAAGACGATGATGAAATTTACCGCTACAATGACGACGGCGACCGGAAATTCAAGAACTTTCTTCACAAAATGATTTGGGATTTTGGGTTTGTTTGTTTTTTCCCAACAGTTTCGAAGAAGAAAGATGAAATGAAGAAGAAAATGGCGAACAATTTGGAGCATAACAAGGCCTGGCTTCTTGCTGAGTCCGGTGGGTGTGTTGCTGAGTTAGCAAATGCCGAACCTCACTCGGTTCACTCGTCGTTTAGATTCAGTCTCTGTTCGCAAATTGAGCTTGAATCTATGAGCGTCAATTCGTCATCTGCTACAGTTTTAATGGTGAATTTGGACAATGGGTTAATGGAACCAAAATCCCAAGAACTTAAGTGGAGACGAATTGAATCTTTAGAGAGAAGTATTTCACCTGTTGCACATACCTTAGTTAGATTCAGCTATGGCGAAATCCTTTCAGCCACTCGCAATTTCTCTAAAGGTACTCGATTTCCCTAATTATTAAACTTTTCAAACTTGACACCTTTGACTATTGACCAAATTTCAACTCGAAAACTGTTGTAAATCACTAAATCCATCTCGTTTTTCATTTCTTACAAAAACCCATTTCAATTTCGCATTTGAAACCCACTAGGTTTAATCGTAGAGTCTTATTTCTTTCAAATTTGGATCTGATTTGAACTAATTTGAATTGGGTTAGGGAGGGTTTTGGGAAGAGGTGCATTGAGCTACGTGTTCAAGGGCAGAATTGGAATTTTGAGGACAACTGTAGCAATCAAGAAACTAGACAAAGAAGATAAAGAAGCTCCGAAGGCGTTTTGTAGAGAACTTATGATCGCAAGTTCTCTTCACAACCCATTTATCGTCCCCCTCGTGGGTTTTTGCATCGATCCTGAAGAGGGTTTGTTTTTAATTTACAAATATGTTTCGGGTGGAAGCTTAGAACGATATCTTCGAGGTACAAATTCTTGAACCTTTGTAGTTCTTGAATCTTGAATCGTGAAGGTTGGATTTTTACTAAATTACGAAAATACCCTTTTTGTAGAGACGAGAAAGGGTAAAAATGGCGGATCGAAACTTCCATGGTCGGTTAGGTATAAAGTTGCTAGAGGAGTTGCGGAGGCTGTGAGGTATTTGCATAATGGAACTGAAAGATGTGTGGTTCATAGAGATATTAAGCCTTCCAACATCCTTCTTTCTTCAAGAAAATCACCTAAGGTGAGGAGTAATTTGATTTATTATATAGATACAATTCTATTTAAATGTTTAGGTATATTTTTTATTATGTTGACAAGGAGGGTATTTAGGTCTTTTTTCTAAACAGGAGATTGAAAACGACTCCCTATGCCATCTTTTTTGAGTGGGCAAAAAGCTGCAAGTTTTGTCCTATTTTTTTGAGTGTTTTTTCAGTGGACAAAAAGCGGCAAAAGCTGCAAGTTTTGTCCCATTAATATAGTCTTTGTCTCACCTTTTGGGTGGAAGACCAGAAGGTGGGACAAAAAGCTGCAAATTCCCATCCAACAAGGTTTTGGACGGGAGGTGGGACAAAAAGCTGTAAGGTTTGTACTATTTGACGTCAGTACAAGTCTTGTCCCACGTTATCCCACCTATTTTCGCGAGACAAAAAATTGTACTTTTTTTTCCTGTTAATTTCAGTCTGAGTTTCAGTTCAATGCATGTCAACGCCCAAATATCCTCTGTGGCCTTATAGTTTACTTGGTATTGTAGTTATGTGATTTCGGATTAGCTACATGGACTTCTGCTCCCTCGGTTCCTTTTCTTTGCAAAACCGTGAAAGGGACATTCGGGTAAGTTCTTTTATCAAGATTTTGATAAAATTGTGCAAAATTGTTACCTTTGGTTGATTAAAATGACAAAAATTGTTTTTTTATAGGTATTTGGCTCCCGAATATTTTCAACACGGGAAAGTTTCCGATAAAACCGATGTTTATGCATTTGGAGTTGTTCTTTTGGAGTTGATAACGGGTCGTAAGCCGATTGAATCAAGAAGAGGAGTTGGAGAAGAGAACTTGGTTTTGTGGGTGAGTCATTGCTAATAATTTCATTGTTATTTATTAATAATTTAGAAGTTGTTTGATTTAATTATTTTTTTAGCATATAATTCTCATTATTTTCACCTAAAAGATTCTTTCTAGGGTCAAATGCAAGAAAATAGCATACGACCTCCATATATTTTTTTCTATTATAACAATTAATAGAGAAACTTATGAAATATACTCAAATTTTGTAGGCGAAACCATTAATACAACAAGGATCCATAGAGAAACTACTCGATCCACGTGTCGAATTCACTCAAAAAAACTTGGGCCAAATAACCCGAATGATAGAAGCAGCGGACGCGTGTATAAACAATGAAGAATCAAAAAGACCAAATATTGACACAATCATATCTATCTTGAATGGAATCGAAGCAAATTTACCAAAAAGGACGAAACCCGGAAATAGTTTATCAGAAGGGTACCCACAAATTCGACAAACAAAGAGTGAAATGAAGTCTCATTTAGCTTTGGCAATGCTTGGTGTTTCAGAATTGGAAGATAGCCATGATCATTTATATTGTCGTTGATGGAAATCGGTTTTTTGTTTGAATATAACCCAAGAGTACAGAAATTGAAGGTTTTAAAAAGGATGAATGAGAGAATTTGTATATAGATCTTGTAGTTGGAAAAAGAAAAAAAAAATAACTAATTTATATGTTTGCAAATGGAGATTATCATGGTCATATCATCATATGCCTTTATTTGAGAGGCTTGTTATGACATGGTTTTTTCTTTGTTATTTTGTTGGGAAAAATATGTTTGTTTGAATAATATGTTATCGATTAAGTTAAAGTTTTGGTTCATGTATCCAATGGAGAAGTTTATTTAACATGGATATATTAATTTTGAACGATTGTTTGTCGAGGAATAAGGATAGATCTATCAATAAAATATTGTTTAGTTTGCTAAATTGAAAATGATAACAAAAAATAGGGTGAATTACACGGATGGTCTTTAGGGTAATCTGCATGTTTAGTTCCTAAGAATTTTTTTTAACTTAGACCATCCCTACTTTATATTTTTGTTGCATGTTTAGTCCCTGTCCATTCTAAAAAGACTAATTTACTCTTATTCTTTTTTCCCCCTTTTAGATTTATCAGTTTATTCAAAATAAAATAAAATATGGGTCATTTATTCTTAACCCTATCCCTAGATCTTACTCGAACCTTTTTGCCTTTATCTTGTTGCTCGCGTCTGCTACCACCTCCAAACACTGACACATCCCTTCTTCTTCCTCCCTCGCCTCTTCACTGGAAAGTTGCTCATGCTCAGTCACACACACATACAATCTATCTCTCTCTCTCTCTCTCTCTCTCTCTCTCTCTCATCGAGTTTTAACATCATCAAGTTCTGATATCTGTTCATGAAACGGTAACGAAGATGAGATGTACTTCAGCGATTATGGATTTGTGTTTTTTTTGGTTTGTTTTGGGGATTTCACCCTAGCAATTCAAAGTCATGAACGATTTTAGGGTTGTTTTGGGGATTTCTGGTTTGTTTTTGTATTTTTTCTAGTTCGTCGTTTGGGAATTGAAAATGTCAGAGGGTGGTGAAAGGAGATCAAAGAGAAGCTTGGAATGAGATAGATGAGAGATAGAAAAAGAGATTAAAGCTCAACTAATCAAGTATTTCATCTCAAGAAAAAACCCAGAAAAAAAGTCTGATTTCCATTGTTGGTGTTATGCTTAATCAGGATGTTCTTGTTTCTGATGGTGCCCACCAAGTGTTCGATCATTTGTATAGTCGGTTTTTTCTGAAGATCATGGTGAATCATATGTGAAGTTTTGAACCCTTCAATTAATTGGCGGAACTCTTGGTGTTATGCTTAATCCCGGTGAATAAACTTATCCCCACCACCATCTTTAAATCCAGATCCCGACTCCCACATAAGCCACCACTGCCACTTAAAACAAGAAGAAACATATTTCAAATTTACATGTAATTGAGTTTTGTTTTTCTAGAATGTGTGGGAGTCGATTTCAGTTTTGCTTTCAAACAACTTAGAACATTAAGAGGAATCCAAACATGGAGAACCAATGAGTTTTTATTTGCAATAGATTATTTGCTTTAGAGATTTTTTCTGGTGGAATCTAGTATTTTTCGGTGGAGCCCGACATTTTCCGACGAGAGGAGTGAGATTTTTCGGCGACTGAACATAAAGAGGGAGGGAAGGGGAAGATGGTTCGGTGGTGTGGGTTCTTGAATAAAACAAATATGTTTTTAATTAAAAATTTTTCTATATTTATTTAATATTTTTAATTAAATGATAGTTTAAACAATATAAATAAAATCAGTAAAGGTAAATTAGACTTTTTATAACGGAAAGGGACTAAGCGTGAAACAAAAATATAAAGTAGGGATGGTCCGAGTTAAAAAAAATTCTAGGGACCAAACACGTAGATTCCCCTAAACCACATGGATCATCCGTGTAATTTACCCAATATATATATATATATATATATATATATATGGAAAAGTGAATATACCCTTAAGGGTATATAAGCTTAGGTACCCAAACACACAATACTATGTCGTTTTGTATAATATATATATATATATATATATATATATATAATATATATATATATATAATATATAATTATATATATATATATATATACATTATAATTGTCCAATGTTCTTATAATTCAACTTATAACTTGATTTACTTTCAAGATTTTTATAAATATCACATTTATCTCGCTCTTACATAATTTTCATTTTCAACTATAATATATATAGACTAGTAGGTGTTCGGGAAAAAGATATGACGTAAGAGGAAGATAATAGTGAAATTTCGAAAATCTTAATTGTAAATCAAGTTAGGAATTGAAGTTAAAGAACATTATAATTAATATATCAAACAAAATGACGTAGTATGATGAGTTTGGGTACCTAAGCTTATCTACCCTTAAGGGTATATTCACTTTTTCTATATATATATATATATATACACGTACAATATTTTGCCATAAGATATAAGTTATCATCATTTTTAGATTATTGATATTATAGTTTCGGAAAAATATTGTTTTTAGGTATATTGTAACGTTCAAGTAAAAGCTGTATTTTATATCATAAAAATAGATAGTCGTGTTATTTTAGTTTTTCTAAATTAAATACTTGAATTATTCGATTTTGAATGTTAATAAATAATATTAGGTGATCAATTTTTTTTCTTTTAACAACAAATCTAACATATTCATAACGACTTCTAATTCAACTTATGTTTGAGATGGAATTTGATATCTTGAGAATAACATATTATATGATGAGTTAGAAGCCTTTGGTATCAAATAATTATTTGAATAGGTACTTTTACCTAAATGTTTATTATTGATATAGAAATGGATAGCACTTCACCAACTTGACCAACTTACCACATTTATAAGAGGCAATAGGTAATGCTTCATGAATCTTAAAATGTTCATCGATTTTCGTGGTTCCATATTTAACAATAATAATAATAATAATAATAATAATAATAATAATAATAATAATAATAGTTTAAAAGAAAGCTTAATTGGTCATAGTAGCTTAGTTTAATGTTTAAAAGCTCGATTATTTTGTTTATTTTTGTATAATATGTGTTTAATTTTGTAAAAGAATATTATTTCATTTTAATCAGTTAGATCAATGGAATCAAAACTTTGGTTTATATAAGATTATAAAAACCGATTAACATTGACAAGACATAAATATGTAATTGTTTTTAGACAAAACTTCAAAAATGGTCCCTGTGGTTTTCGAAAATATCAAGTTTGGTCCCTAATTTACAAAAACCTCATGGATCGTCCCTGTGGTTTCAAAACTTTTAACATTTAGTCATTTCGGCTAACTCCGTTACCATTTAGCCGTTAAGTCAGGGGCATTTTTGTCATTTCACTACACAGGGACCATTTATGAGGTATTCAATTACTTTTTTTAAATAAATAAATAAATAATATTTAATATACAAGGGGTCCAACCCTCTCTCTCTCTCTCTCTTACGATTCCACACGGTAGCACCACCTTCCGCCATAAAACCACCACTGCCATCACCTCCTTCCCCACCGGAAATCACAACCCAGCCACCCATATTCCATCCCGTTTGATCACTCAAACCCACCCTCAAATACCACCACTTACTGCCTTCCATTCACGTTTTTCTACTGCCCTTCCCCTTTTCCTTCACTACCGAGAAACACCACCACCCCCACGGGTGGTGTTGTTGTTGTAACCCAAACACCTCATCGAGTGTGCCCTGTTCGAATTGAGAGCCAATCTTCTTCTCCGGGTGTGAAATTATACACTTTTAGTTTTGTGAAGTAACATTTCTTTCAGGTGTTTCATCGAGCACCTGGAGTGCATTGTTCTCCTCCTTCATTTTCTGATTTATTTAGTAAGAGTTATCACTCGTCGCTGTTCCTAATCACCACCATCACCACCTGTGCGACCGCTGCTACTCCACCACCATAAGTCCTCCTAAACCCTTCATAAATAATAAACTCCAGTCGAGTTCCACATTCAAAGCCACGAAAATCGGTTTCTTTTTTTTCTCTGGTGCGATAACTGAGAACGAAGAAGACGCAGGAGGATGTTTACCTCCTGCATAATCAAACTTGAATACAGAACGAGAGGGAAATCATCGACTCAAAAGAAAAAAAACGCAAATGGCCCTTAATTCAATCGAGACTTCTGATTTATGATTAGATTGAAACATAGCAAAAAGAATGGTGGGGATGATCTTACAGTAGCAGCAAGCTGTGAGAGGTGGTGATGGTGGTCCACAGTGGGTCTCACGGTGGCAGCTCCACTGCCTCCATCGTTTTCTTCTGGGTTTCGTTGACAGCTACAGAAGTGGGAGAGGATGAGAGGTGTTAGGCTATATTGGAGGTGGTTTTCGGATTTATGGAGTGGCAGAAAATGGTGGCAATGCTCGATAGAAGAAGGGTGGCTGGATGATGACGGGGAGCTCCGACAGCCTCCTGCTATCGATTTCTTCTTGTTGTTTGGTGTATATGAAGGGAAGGGGAAGCGAGTTCGGAGGTGGAGGAAGCTTGCCTGGCAGGAGGCTGTCGGAGCTCCCCGTCATCATCCAGCCACCCTGCTATCGATTTCTTCTTTAAATTTAATGTTTTTTTCTTTTTTTTCAAAAAAAAATAGAAAACCTCATAAATGGTCCCTAGGTGTTGAAATGACAAAAATACCCCTCATTTAACGGTAGAAAGCTGACGGAGTTAGGCGGAAGGACCAAATGTTAAATGTTTTGAAACCACAGGGACCATCTGTGAGGTTTTTTGAAATTAGGGACTAAACATGATATTTTCGAAAACCACAGGGACCATTTTTGAAGTTTTGTCTTGTTTTTATAAAATTGTTGAAGCACAAACCAATTCAAATGATAAAATAATACTCCCTCCGTCCCAAAATTATAGTCCATCTTTCTTTTTTGGTTTGTCCCAAAATAATAATCCGCTTCTAAAAATAAATAATATTTTTACCAAAATACCACTTCATTATTGTTAAACCAACTAAGCATTTAATGGAACATTAAATGCAAAGTAAGGACAAAACTGTCATTTTATTGTATAAAGTTAGTAGTAAGTGTGTTTTTTGTCTGTGGACAATAATTTTGGGACGGAGGGAGTATATATTTACGTAAACACAAATGAATTAGGTCCGTATAAGATAAACAAAGACCAAGACTTAAATGTCTTTCATTATCAATTTATCATCCTAATTTATATATTTTTTTCAATTCTCAAATCTTTACATAATGAAAAAGAAAACCACCAGCTTGTTTCCAATTTGTACATATTTT